CTCGACGGCGACGCGCTCGCCGCACTCACATCGGCGCCGAGGGAGAAGCGTGCTACGCTACCGATGGCGCTACAGCTGCTGGCCGGGGTCTATGGACCTTCAGCCGAATGCCGTCAGCAGTTTTACGATCGCAAGCGGGGTGAAAAGGAGTCGCCCCTGGCATTCCAGACAAGTCTCCTGGCGCTGGCGAAGACGGCCTTTCCTCGTATGGACGACGACGGCGTGGACGCGATGGTCATGGAGAAGATCCTCCTCCTGGCAGACGACCTCGACATCGTTGTCATCGCACAGGAGGACGCAGAGATGACTTCTCTCCAGGCTGCGCGGCTCCTCCACGCCAACCTTCTGTCACTGCGGCGGAAAGCCAGCAGGGCATCGGCTGGGCGTGCGGTGGCTGCAGCCACCCTTCCGACGGAAGAGCTCTACGCCGTCGACCATCGACGGCAACAGGCGACAGGAGCACGGTCGGGCCGGGACGGGTCGAGCCGCTTCGACCGTCCATCATCTTCGTCGGCGCTCCCGCGTTGTTTCAACTGCGGCGTCCGGGGCCATGTCGCCTCGGGGTGCCGCTCTCCTCGACAGCGCGGGACGACGCCCCGACGGGACGCCGGCCCTCCTCCTCCTCCTCCTCCTCCCAAGCTCCAGCAACATGATCCGGCGAGTCGCGGCACCACACATGTTTGGCCAAAGCACCCACCTGTCGCACACTCTCGCACCGCAACGAACGGGGGGCCGGTGGGGCGCTGCGACGGGCCGGCACGGATCACTGCGGGGACTCAAATCGAGCCCAAGCAGTGGTCCGTGTTAGCCCATCGCGTGGTGGCCGCGGCGTCGGGGTCGTCGGCCGTGGTCGGTCACATTGATGGGGTAGAGGTACGCATCATAGTCGATACGGGGGCATCGGCGACAATCATTTCGGAGCTAATTTACAATATTCTACCTGTACAGAGCCGTCCTTTGCTGCCGGTTAACGTTCCATTCTATGCCGCTAACGGGGGCTCTCTCGGCATCGTGGGACAGATTCGAGCGCAAATTTCTATCGGGGACATCAAATTGTCGGGGCCGATTTTTGTTTCCTCCTCGCTGGCAGTTCCGTGCCTGCTGGGGACGGACTTCTTAGGCAGAATGCCAATTCGTATTTTGATCGACCAAGGATGCATTGAGCTTCCGTCGGGGCGACGCATGGCGTTCCTGCCTTCCCCTGTTGCGACTCGGACGGCGTTCGCGACAGTACCGGCGTTCGTCGTTAAAACAGTGCGTGTGCCGCCGGGAGCTCAAATGTTAGTACCTCTGAAACTTCGTAGGCCCTTCGCTAAGGGCGTTGGGGACCAGGGTGTTGTGCTGGGACCGTCTAGGGCCGGGGTTAATGGCCCTCATTTAATTCCGGCCCAGACCGTCGTAAGAGGGCACGGGAGCCCTTTCATCGCGGTCCTCAATGTAGGGTCGCAGACAGTAGTGGTTCCTCAAGGGACGGTGCTCGCTCACGCGACGCTGGTGCCCTGCGAGGAACCTGTCGCGAACCACGTTGACACTGCTTCCCGGACGCACCCGCATTCGGACGGCGATGAAGGGTGGCTCGACGCGCTTTGTGCGGGATCGACGGACCTGTCAAATTCAGAGCGCCAACAGCTTAGATCGCTGCTGAAGGAATTTTCCGACGTTTTCAGTCGGAATAAATACGATTTGGGTTGTACTCACCTGCTGCGTCACCATATTGACACGGGTGACAGCGCGCCTATTCGCCAAAATCCGTTTCGGTTGAGTCCCGCCGAAAAGGACCATGTCAAATCGGCTGTCGATGACATGTTAGCCGCCGACATCATTTCTCCCTCTACCAGCCCTTGGGGAGCGCCGATTGTCCTGGTTAAAAAGCAGGATGGCTCGTTGCGGTTTTGCGTGGATTTCCGGCGCCTTAATAAGATTTCGGTTGCCGACGCATACCCGCTCCCACGGATGGACGAATCGCTGGACGCCTTGGCGGGAGCGCGATTCTTCTCCACACTAGATTTACTTTCGGGATTCTGGCAGCTTCCTCTGGACGATGACTCAAAGCCTAAAACTGCTTTCCGTACACCGCACGGCCTGTTCCAATTCAACCGGTTGCCGATGGGCTTACACTCAGCGCCGGCAACTTTCCAGCGGTTGATGGAATTGGTTTTGGCTGGATTGCAATGGGAGTCGTGCCTGATTTATTTGGATGACGTTATTGTCTTTGGAAAAACTTTTGACGAACATCTCCAGAGGTTGCGGGCGGTTTTCCAAAAGATGCGGGCTGCTAATTTGAAATTTAAGCCCCAAAAATGCCATTTGTTACGCGAGTCGGTGCGTTATTTGGGGCACATCGTGGGGCGCTCAGGTATTGCTACCGATCCCGCCAAAACGCAGTGTGTCAGCTCCTGGCCGACTCCAACCTCGGTGGGGGAGGTGAGGAGTTTTATTGGCTTCGCGTCGTATTACCGACGCTTCGTCGCTAATTTTGCGACAATTGCCAAACCCCTACACGCTTTAACATCTAAAGGGGTTCGGTTCCACTGGGGTCGGGATGAGGAAGTTGCTTTCTGCTCCCTTCGGGACGCCTTGGTGAAAGCTCCTCCCTTGATTTACCCAGATTTTTCGAGGCCGTTTTTGCTCGACACCGACGCGAGCAACACGGGTATTGGAGGCGTGCTTTCCCAGGTGGTTGACGGCGTGGAACGGGTGGTTGCGTACGGCAGTCGGGTGTTGTCTCCAGCGGAGCAAAGATATTGTGTCACCCGTAGGGAACTGTTGGCAATTGTCTATTTCATCCAACAGTATCGCCCATATCTGTACGGTCAGCATTTCACCGTCCGTACAGATCATGCGGCACTGCAGTACGCCCTGAAGGTTCAACAGCCATCGGGACAATTGTCCCGATGGTTGGAGGTCCTCCAGGATTTCGATTTCGAAACCACCTACCGTAAGGGCGTTCGCCACACCAACGCGGACGCTCTGTCGCGCATGCCAACCGCCTCCGAATGTGCATGCCTCCTGGGGTCGGGGCGTTGCAGGCCAGCAGGGGACATGCCGGTTCCAGTCCTGGCGGCCGCCGCCGATGTTGAAACATTGCTCCCCGATGATATCGCGGAACAGGGAAGAGATTCCCTGCTTGGGTTGCCTGTTAATGAATGGGGGCGCCTCCAGATGGAGGATACCTCCCTCCTCGCGCTGCGTCGTCGCGCCGGGGAGAGGGGGCGTGGGACGGGTGATGCCGACGCATGGGAAATGCACGCGGGGTTGCTTATGCATTGGGACGGGAAATCCCACCGTCACCGGCTGGTAGTCCCTTCTGGGTTACGGGGTAAGGTGGTGTGGGCTGCTCATGAGCGCCTCCTCCACCTGGGTACCCAAAAGACCCTCGCCTCGCTCCAGCTTGACTTTTTTTGGCCGGGCATGACACGGGATGTCACGGATTTGTTGGCAGCATGCCCTCGGTGTGCGCAGCGCAAACCACCAGCTCGGGAGTCGAACCCGCCGTTGCAGTCCATCACAGTCTCCAGGGTGAACGAACTTGTAGCGTTGGATATCCTGGGCCCATTTCCCGCCACCCCTAGGGGCAATAGATATTTGTTAACAGGGGTTGAGTACTTTACGCGCTGGCCTATGGCCTGGCCCCTGGCCAATCAGTCGGCAGCAGCCATCGTGGACGCCTTTGTCCAAGGCTACGTCATGGACAAAGGTGCTCCGGAGCGGCTGCTGACTGACCAGGGTAAAAATTTTTCCGGGAAACTCCTCAAACAGGTCTGTGATCTCCTGGGTACGAAGAAAATTCGTACCTCTCCCTATCACCCGCAAACTGACGGGATGGTCGAGCGTCTGCATCGCACCATCACGTCTATGTTGTCGCACCAGGTTTCGGAGTCACAGACCAATTGGGACTTGCAAATTCAAGGGGTCCTGGCAGCGTATAGATTGGCCCCCCATGCTGCGACGGGATTTTCACCCTTCTTTCTCATGTATGGCCGCGAACATGACCCACCTGTTCGGGCACAGCTGCAGATCCCCGCGCCGCTGGGTAAAACAAAATTGGACGAACACGTTAAATTTAACCTTCAAAAACTGACTGAGGCACGGGATGCTGCCATGCTAAATTCCGACAGGCGTCAAAAGGCGAATGAGCGCCTCAGGCTGGCACGCGCGCACGTGCTGCAGTGGAAGCCAGGGGACAGGGCATGGCTGCACTGTCCCCAGGTACCACTTGCGACCTCCTCGAAACTGGTGCGGCCGTGGCGGGGCCCCGTCGAGGTGGTCGAGGTTTTGCGACCTCAGTGCATTCGTATCAAGTGGGGGAAGCGCCGGTGGTTCGTTCACCCCTCTAGGCTAAAACCCTTCGTTGCGGTGCGAGGCCCTACTCCACACGCGCAGGGCCAAACATGTGGGGGGTCGACCGACTCGGAGGGTCCGTCTCTGTTGCTCTCGCCTGACGTCTTGTCGGCTGTTCCGCCCCCAGGTACTTCAGGAATGACGGGCTCGCGCCCAACAACCCTCACGGGGGATGCCGAGGGTCTCGCCACTCCAATCGCGGACTCGCCTCGAAAGGGACAGCTGCCATCGGATGGTCCGCCATCTGGGGTTGGCCCATGTGACGGGCCTGCGGCAAGGACGCGCGCAAAAATGCGCAGACTCTTGTAATGCGCAGGAAGACGAAGAAGAAGAGAAAAAAAAAATTTTATTGCGTTTTTTTTGTAAACTTTTCGCGTGTTATGGTTACTGGGCGCTGCGTTGGTGGGGCGCTCTTGGCACGTTGTTGTTATGGCTGTGTGTGTTGGGTGTGTCTTGTGTGTGTGTTGTGTGTGTGTTGTGTGTTGTGTGTGCGCTGGGGGTTCCTGGCGAATGTATATACTTTGCTTTTACGGATTTCGTATTTATTCAGGGGGGGGGGCGCGTCGGTTTATTCTCCCTTTGGGGGTATGGTTATTGTTGTTGTTCAATTCACGTTCTGTTGATAAAAAAAAATGAGGCACACACGAGGGTCAAGAGGTAAAGGTACCTTTATTGGAATTGTTGCAGCCGGGACGGCTGCGAGCTATGCAGGGGGGAGTGATGTAGGGCTGTTATCGAGGGGCTGTTTGTACATAGGATCAAACGGCGAACAAACACAGTGGGCGGAGCTCCGGGAGTACACGGGGGGGGTGCCCGCAACGACGTCCGCATCGGGCAGCCTGGGGGGTAGGGCTGCCCGGGGTTGTGATCCTGTGGGGGGATATAAAAGGGGATGACAGAGAGAGCTCGGGGCTCAGTATTAGAACAAAGGGAAGACTGAAGACCCGGGTAGCTAGAGCCCTGGACTCCCCTGAGACGCCGCCCTTGTCAGGGCCGCGCAGGACCGAGCCAGCGGCGTGGTCCCGTGAACCAGAGTCAGCACTCTGGGACTCCGGGTACCGTAGCCCGACTCGCCAGTGTCGGGCCAGACAGCCTCCCCTAGCTCTTTAGTGGAGGACTCGGGGGTAGGTCAGGGATAGCTAGGGGTGTATCCCCAGTTATACGGGTGAGGGGGCCGATACCCCCTCGAGTGTCATACAGCCCACTGTTGTACTGTAAATAAAGACACGTGTGCCTCAACCTCGGTGTCAAGCGTCTTCAACGGTACTTCAATTGTCTGAACCGGTCCTGAGCCTCCCCTACGTCAACTCAGCCTCAAACGAGTACCCGGTGCGGTGTAAACATTGCCACTAGGGAGACAAAGGCGGCCGGGCGTGGTGCCGTCCCAACCTTAATATATGCTCACTAACAGCACTTACCCATACAGTCCGTCCAGGCGACACGGGGGATATGTCTTTGTGTTGGGAGCAAGTTTGAGTGACGTGTAGCCATGGGAGTTGAACGAGCGCCTGCTACTACTGACAGTCGACTACGGTTGGACAGACGCTGATACAGACAGACAAGACAGGCGGACAGACAAGAGGAACACATAGACAGAGAAAGATAGAGACACAGGCAGAGAGAGAGGCGGACACAGAGATGTTGAATCGAACAAACTTAACTCGCTCCATTGAAAGAGTTTCCTCGAGCTTTGCCCATCCCCGTAAGTCGTTTTAGTTTCCATTAATTTCAGTGTGGTGTGTACGTGTAAGCAATGTGGGATATCGATGTACACAGATATGAACAAGATCAGCAGACAATAAGTCTTTCATACTCTTCGGTTCTTTCGGTAAAGTCACATAAATAAAAAAACGTTTCAATCGCAACACAAGCGGTTGTCCTCGGGCGAAAAAATCCAGAAATTGTCACGGCAGAAGTCAGGTGAGTGATGGCACGTGACAGATAAGGTGTGTTCTATGGTGTTTTTAAGGAGCAGATGACTGTGAAAATGCCTTCCCACACACTGCACTTGAAGGGTTTCTCTCCTGTGCGAGTTCCCTGGTGCTGTGTCAAATGTCCAGGGCGGTCCGTGCTGTATGCACACCGGTCACATTGTTGCCTTGTCGTACCGTAATGCGCCGAGTGCCTTTGCTCCGTCAGACCAATTAGGCCAAGGGTCGGCAACCTACGGCTCTGGAGCCGCATGCGGCTCTTTACGGGCTGCTTCTTGACGATATGTACGTATGTACAGTATGTACTCAGATGCATTGCGGCTCTTGAAATACTGAATTTTGTACCGAATTGGAAAGAAATGGCTCTTCTTGTTATTTTGGTTGCCGACCCCTGAATTAGGCAGACATCATGCAAAATTCAAATGAGTGCTGTCGTGGAGAATGTATCTACGAGATGTGCTCTGCCGTGTAACCAAATACAAATGTACCAAAAATGCATTTCAAATGTGCTCTTAAAATTACCTCCTTGCTATGAAGCAGATCAGAAGACACGACATCTTTCATATATCGATCTCTCCACGAAACAAAGGAATGTTTTACACAAACTAGAACTAGCACAGCCTTCTGGGAGTGCATCATTGATTCAGTGCAAGCCACCTGTGGACCCTTATTTGTGTACAGCGTCTCAACAGCAGCCGGGTTTGCTTCAGACGTTCATCAGCAAGGAGCATTTCTAGTCCGAGTTCGACAAAATCTACGTCAACACGTAATACAAAATTATAATGTGTTGTAGAGAATGTATCGCCTCTACATGTAACTGATGAATGACCCGAATGTGCTCCCTATTTCAAAGAAAATGAATTGCTCCAGAGGGAGATGCTTCCTGAAAACACAAAAGTACCCTTTGACCTGTATCACAAGAACTGGTCTCACCTGAGTTATCTGTACAGGTTACTTCCAAAACACACACTTTGTCCTAACATCACTTATTTAATGTTTGACCCTTAGACAAAATGCTACATGTACACACACAATCAGACAAGTATTCATTCTAAATTATTGAGTCATTTTAAACAAATTGAATTACTGAACTGAAATATGCTGCATTAGGTTGCATCGTATTAACAAGCCATTTAAAAAAATACACACCGTCTGCTTAACAGTGTAAGTACAAAATACTATTGTCATTCAAAACAAGTAGGCCATTGCATGCTGGCGTCTGGGTCAAAATTCATGAAATTCTAAACATTACATACAAACTCCACAACCAAGATGCCATATCAACCATTGCCCCCTACTGACAGGCTCTTGTCCACATGCAGGCCGGTGCAGAGCAACCACTTTGTACCACACATGGGCAGCTGCTACTTGGGAATGCTCTTCGAGTGTTTGAGACGAGATACTATACAAAACTCCGATTTGCCGAGATTAAGCAAGCACCGTATAAATGAAATTGATAACAATGCTTGGGAGCTTATTGGCTCTCGCTCCTGATTAGAGATCTACGCAACCCACAGGTCCACAAAGACTGGCCGCTCTTACCCTGCAGGTTGCACCTAGAAATTAAGTTCAACTTCACATTCTTGTCATTAAATACCTGACAAAGGAGCATCTATTGGAGCGACATCATCTCAAGTTACACATCTACCGGGTCTCCATTTGACTTTGTATTGTTTCGGAGGAAGTCCACCCACACCTCCACTTCCACAAACTGCTGGGAGTTGCCTCGCTCTGCCTCACAGTCAGAATTCTCCTCCTGTTTCACGTTGCCTCCATCGATGTGAAGGTCCCATTTTGGAGTTGAATTGTCATCTTCACATTTTACCTTCACTTCTTCGCTTTTCACCATCACTTCATATTTCACCTTGATATCTTTAAAAGTGTCCAAGCTGGGATTTTCTTCCGGTTCTTGTTTCATGAGGGATGGGCTCATTGCGGCACTTTGACTTTCACAAGCTGATTTCAAACTCCACTCCTTGTGGATCATCTGATGCTTGTGTGTTCTCTGATGTGCATGAAGATTTGATGAAAGTGCAAACGCCTTCCCGCACGGAGTACACTTGAAGGGTTTCTCTCCTGTGTGTGTTCTCTGGTGTTTTTTACGAGCAGATGAATGTGAAAATGCCTTACCACACACACTGCATTTAAAGGGTTTCTCTCCCGTGTGTGTTCTCTGGTGTGCTACAAGAGGAGATGAACGTGCAAACACCTTTCCACACACAATGCACTTGAAGGGTTTCTCTGCCGTGTGTGTTATCTGGTGTTTTACAAGAGTAGATGACTGTGCAAACGCCTTTCCACAAACACTGCACTTGAAGGGTTTCTCTCCCGTGTGTGTTCTCTGGTGTTCTACAAGAGGAGATGAACGTGCAAACGCCTTCCCACACACACTGCACTTGAAGGGTTTCTCTGCCGTGTGTGTTCTCTGATGTGCTACAAGAGTAGATGAACGTGCAAACGCCTTCCCACATACACTGCACCTGAAGGGTTTCTCTCCCGTGTGTGTTCTCTGGTGCATTACAAGAGTAGATGACTGTGCAAACGCCTTCCCACACACACTGCATTGGAAGGGTTTCTCTCCTGTGTGTGTTCTCTTGTGTGCTACAAGAGAAATTGAATGTGCAAATGCCTTCCCACACACACTGCACTTGAAGGATTTTACTCCCGTGTGTGTTCTCTGGTGCATTACAAGAGTAGATGACTGTGCAAATGCCTTCTCACACACACTGCACTTGAAGGGTTTATCTCCTGTGTGTGTTCTCTGGTGTTTTTTAAGAGCAGATGGATGTGAAAATGCCTTCCCACACACACTGCACTTGAAGGGTTTCTCTCCTGTGCGAGTTCTCTGGTGCCGTGTCAAATTTCCAGTACGATCCGTGCTGTATGCACGCTGGTCGCAGTGTTGCCTTTTTGCACTAAGTCGCACGGAGTGCCTTTGCTCCATTAGACTAATTCTGCAGAGGAAGTGACAGCTGCAGACAGAAAAAAAATATCAACACCATCTACACGTCAGTATCGATGCACAGAGGAATGCATATATACACAGTCAAACGTCTATACCTATTCAAATATTCATGATATAGTGAAAAAGTGTACCAAATTCATCACACGGGCTGTTATGGCACACAATGAGAAGGCAAATGGTCACAAACATGCCTGGAAGCCCTCGTATCTTCAAAATGAATGTTAACCCAAAACTCCGAGCACACAATTTCGGCTGTCTGGCTACAAAAGTAATATTTATGAAAGCTAAATTCAGCTGACATAGCAAAGGGTGTTGAAAATAATACTATTTGTTTTGATTTAAAGCATTCGTGACTGCAGGGATTCATATTCTTGGTTCTTTTGTTAAAGTCACGAAGAAGGGAATCAATAAAATAATAGAAAATATAAAACAATAAAATTCTCACGACGTATCGACTGCAACACAAGCAATCTTTATCAGGTGTGGAAAAAAAAACACACCTGATGATGATTGCTTGTTTTGAAGTCGAAACGTCGTGATAATTTTATTGTTTTATATTTTTTTATTATTTTATTGTTTCCCTTCTACGGGACTTTACCGAAAGAACCAAGAATATGAATACTATTTGTGTTATGCAGAAATGCATAAATTAATGTTGAATCGCAACTTAGAGGTGTGAAGCCAGGCACAGATGTCCTTGAATGCTGGGATGAACAGTTCCGACTTCAGCTGCACGTGTGCTGTGATAACATCCTGACTCCATTCTTACAAAGAGTTCCAGAGGAAAACAAAAACAAACTACTATTTTGATATAACCTCCATGCTCAATAAAGTCAATAGACATTACTGCAAATACAAACTTGACACTGTCACACACTCAGAGGCAGAGCCAGGATTTTCAGGTGGGGGGGGGGCAACCCCTCCAGCAATGAAAAATGATAGGAGTTGTTAGTATGTAAGGAGTTGTTATTAAGTAAGGACTTATCCCATGCTTTTTATTCGAAGCGTGTGATCGGCATCGCGCTCGCTGAAGGTGTTTGCCTTCAGGGAAGTCGTGTACTGTATACGCAACTGCGCACAATTCTGAGTCGCTTGTAACTGCTTTGCCGTTACTTATTGCCAATTATGGACTCGGACTGTTGTCCTCTCATCAGTCCCTGGCACGTAATATGCCACACGGTGGCCATGGGGGTCGCAAAATGTCGATTTATCTATATAAAAGGGAAATGTGTGGATACGTGTGTCTGTTCGAAATGTTTAGCATACTTGCCAACATGCTACATTCTTGAAATGTGGGTCAGTTCCATACTGTACACAATGTAAAAAGTATAAAAATAGTCACTAAAACTTTAAATCTAGATATAAAATAGACTTTTGTATTTTGGCGGGGGGGGGGAATGACCATGCTGTTAACAGTGTGCCGGGAGATTTTAGGTGGCGCTTCGCTACTGGCCGATGAGGCCAATGGCTTCTCGGAGTTCAATACATATCCGTGCGAAGAACGGGTACAACTGCTATCTTAAATATAAAGCAGAATTTACATCTGTTTGTTTGAAGCAGCAAAACCTCTACAATGCTGAGCTCTGGCGTTATGAAATTTTCACAGCATTTGCTGTCTGGAATGTCTAAGTGAACGCGACTATTTTCAGCTCACCTTGTCATTCTCTTACCGAGTGGCCAAATCGACTTTACGTAGAAGTGGGTTAAGGTTGAATTGAGTGAAAATATCCGATTTAGGTCAATTGATTTGTTTCGGCTTTTTTCTTTCTTTCAAGAATAAAAAATATTTCAGTGAAATAAGGGAATATTAAATTAATCCAAGACAAGAATCCAAGTCCCGGGCAAAGCCGGGTAGTGACGCTAGTTATTATTAAACGCCATTGATCCAATCGAAATTTGGGATTTCGATCGGATCGTTGGGGGGCATGTGCCACCCCACCCCCACTGGCTCCACCACTGTCACACTGGCATGGTTCACAGGTGGTGGTGTGTCTAGACCAGGGGTCGGCAACCTACGGCTCCGGAGCCGCATGCGGCTCTTTACGGGCTGCTTCTTGACGATATGTACGTATGTACAGTATGTACTCAGATGCATTGCGGCTCTTGAAATACTGAATTTTGTACCGAATTGGAAAGAAACTGGCTCTTCTTGTTATTTTGGTTGCCGACCCCTGGTCTAGACCCATGCCTGGCCACCTTCACCTGCTCAGTATTAATGCTTCCTCACTCTACCAAGTAATTCATTGAGGTACAATAAACATCGCCGAGGCTGCGTGTCTCTCTCTCCCCGTGGTTGCGTGGATTTCCTTCCCGATCCCCCGGTTTCCCCTCCACATGTAGCGAGTGAACACCGCCACGCTGTTGACAAGCCTCACCTTGTTGTTGTTGTGGGCAGGTCGCTTCTGAAAACAAGAGCGGTAGAGCAGCTAAAGCGGGCTTGGCCTGGTAAAATATAAAAAAAACTGTGTCAATATTTAAAGTAAAACAAAGTTACAAAGTAGTGAGCCAGGTCAAGACAAATTATCTTAAGCAAGAGAATTGAAGCAAATGCGATCAGGCGAGGGAAGGAGGCAAGGCCCCGCGTTGTAAAGTTCCTACCTGGACATCGCTTCCATGCTCGCTGCTACTCAATTGACATCCCAACAAGAGAGAGAGCGAGGCTCTACCTCGGTAAACAACAACCATCACCATCAAAACAACCACAACCACCACCACAACCACCACCACAACCGCGATGAGAATTTCTCACCTCGGATTTCAGTGCACGGGCGGAACGGCAGCTTCCTGTAACCTCACTACGTCACGCGGCAGTAGGAGGTGACATGACGTCACTTGCGGGGTACGAAAACACTTTCCTCCCACAATGAGCGGCTCTGTTAACTTAAATGAATTATGTTAATGAGCCCGGCCCATACGTCGGAAGGGTGGGGCGCTGGTGACGAACTCGTCGCAATAAACTCGCGACGGCTTTCACGAATACATTATGTTAATGAGCGGCCAGTCACCGGGCGGAGCTTTGCCCAAATAAAGATTGTCACTGGAACAGATATCGGCAGCGGCTGAGGGGAGGTGACGTCACTCTCAAGAGCGCGGTGGTCGGTAGTGGGTGACATGACGTCACTAGCAAGGTCTACTTCTGCGGGCGTTTGACGCCAGTAAGGTCACACTAAGCGGTGACGTCAGAGAGCGGGGTCAAAGTTCAAGTTTGTTGACAGAAGGGGAGCGGCAGTGTCGTGGTGAGCGCTGCGCTCCGCACCGACCAGCCGAGTTCCATTCCCGCTCGTGGCCAACACCGCCAGTGACGAGTCTCTGAACCGGTCCTGAGTCTCCCCTACATCGACTCAGCCTCAAACGAGGACCCGATGCGGTGTGTAAACATCGCCACGAGGGAGACAAAGGCGGCCGGGCGTGGTGCTGGCCACCCACCCCTCGTGTGCCGTCCCACCCTTATTAGGTGCTCGCTAACAGCACTTGCCCCTACAGTCTGTTAAGGCTATACGGGGGATCTTTGTGTTAGGTGCTCACGAACGGCGTGTGCGGCGGCGTGTGAGTTGTGCTGCGTATGACCTGTGCGTGAGAATGAGTGAGAATGAACTGTGTGTGAGAGTGAGCTGTGTGTGAGAGTGAGCTGTGAGTGAGTTGTGTGTGAGAGTGAGCTGTGTGCATGAATGAGCTGTGTGTGATTGAGCTGTGTGTGAGAGTGAGCTGTGTGTGAGAGTGAGCTGTGTGCGAGAGTGAGCTGTGTGCGAGAGTGAGCTGTGTGCGAGAGTGAGCTGTGTGCGAGAGTGAGCTGTGTGCGAGAGTGAGCTGTGTACGTGAGCTGTGTGAGTGAGTGTGAGTGAGTCAGTGTGAGTGAGCTGTGAGTGAGCTGTGTGAGTGAGCTGTGTGAGTGAGCTGTGTGAGTGAGCTGTGTGAGTGAGCTGTGTGAGTGAGCTGTGTGTGAGTGAGCTGTGTGTGAGTGAGTCAGTTTGAGTGAGTCAGTGTGAGTCAGTGTGAGTGAGCTGTGTGACTGAGTCAGTTTGAGTGAGTCAGTGTGAGTGTGAGTGAGTCAGTGAGTGTGAGTGAGCTGTGTGAGTGAGCTGTGTGTGTTTACATTGGCGCGTGCAGGGGGGTTTAATCGTGTTCTTTTTCCATTTGTCCGTAGTCATGACTTTCCTTCATCTCTCTCGTGAATGTCAATATAAATGTACGTGTCTGTATTCATTACGGTATTCATTACAATACAAATGAATGTTTATTTATTCTAATTGTAAGGTTTATTAACTACGTTTATTTATTCTTTGGTTCTTTCGGTTAAGTCACGTCTAAAGATAAAATAATAAATTAAATAATACCATATTACGACGTTTCGATTGCAACACAAGCAATCATCATCAGGCATAAAAGAAATAGCAACAAAAATCTAACTAGAAAACTATAGACAGACATCACAAGGACACACAGAGAGAGGACACATATCGGCACAAAGAGAGAGGTCGTTTCTGTGACGGTGCCTTAAATATAGAGAGGGGAGCGGGGGCGGAGAGAGGGAGGGGGCAGAGAAAAAATTAGCATGTCAATGAGTGGACGGCAACGTGATGCTGCTGCAAGTAAGATGACGACGCGGCACGGCATGCAAGCTTGAAAATCAGGAGAAAGACACGCTAAAATTAAATAACCTAGTAAAATATCGAAATGTAATGTAATGCTCTCTCGAGAAACGGTGCCTTAATGCGGCGAGAGAGTTTGTGTACGTCTGAGAAGCTGATCGCTATACCGTCGAGAGCCTAGTGCTCTCAGAAGGGACACCCAAGGCGGGAAGACTTCAGTGGAGACGTCAGACAAAACCCGTTACGAAAGGTCCCCACATGACCTTTTCAATATAAATTGTGATCCAAGAAAGCAACGGGAAACTACTTGGATTATTTCTCCCTTGAAAACTTCAATGATGACAAGCAAAATCAACAAAGGCCCTGAGTATCGGCGTCCTTTAAATAGGACAGGGGTGCTAAGAATCTCCGAGCTTGTGTCAAAGAACCCTTTCAAAGTAGCAACTTGGAACGTTAGAAGTTTACTTCAAGCAGGAAAACTAGCCAATGTCATACAAGAAATGGATCGACTTAAAATCAACATAATCGGTCTAAGCGAAACTAAATGGCCTGGAACAAAAAAGTTTATACCAAGCGAACACCACATCTTCTGCTCCGGAGGAGAAGAAAACTCCAAACAAACATACGGTGTCGCCTTTATAGTACACAAGAAATTAGCGAATAAAGTCAACAACTTTACACCAGTATCAGAACGAATAGCACTACTACAATTAGCAGGCAATAAAGTCAACGTGAACATTCTACAGGTTTATGCTCCAACAGCAGATAAACAAGATCATGAAATCGAATCGTTCTATGAGCAACTAACCAACACGCTGAAGCCGCTGAAGAAGCAAGACATCACTATAATCCTCGGCGACTTCAACGCCAAGGTTGGCCACGGTCGAATGCAGAACATTGTCGGAGAACACGGACTAGGAACAAGGAATGAACGAGGTGACAGACTGATTCAATTCTGCCAAGAAGAACGTTTCAGTATTGCTAACACGTGGTTCCAATTACCACCTCGACGACTGTACACGTGGACCTCGCCGCAAGACTCCGACAACAACATCGTCAGGAACCAAATTGATTATATCCTAATTAACATCAGGTTTAAGTCTAGTGTGATTACAGCAAAAACCTACCCTGGAGCCGATATATCGTCAGATCATAACCCAGTAACAGCTACAATAAGACTCAAATTGCGATCAATACAATGTACAAAGACGAGACGAGCAGACCTGGAGAAACTGAAGAACAGCGCCGATAAAAGACAAGTACAGCAACATCTCAACGATAGCATCCGCTCAATAACAACAGAAACAGCAGATGTTCAGGAGTACTGGCGCTCGTTCAAACAATGCATCACAGAAACAACAGAAGTCATGCTGGGACATCAGCCACCGAAAAAGAAACAACGATGGATGACACATTATATTCTCGATTTAATGAGCAAACGAAGAATGTAAAAAAATAATGACTTGGAGAAGTACAAACAAATGCAACAGAAGATCAGAGAAGCAATCAGACAGGCAAAAGAAAAGTGGATGGAAGAACAATGCGCCGAGATTGAAGAACTAATTAAAAAACATGACAATTTTACTCTGCACAAGAAGCTCAAAGAAGCTGGTAACATCTACAGACCAGCCCCAACAGCTACCTTGTATGCGGACAACAACCAACCAATCCTAAATAAACAAGAAAAAATGGACACCTGGACAAACTATATACACAAGCTCTATGGCGCCGCGAGAACACCTGCAGAAAATGACCAACAGATGTCGAAAGACGCTCTACACATTTTAACATCAGAAGTAGAACATGCAATATAAACAGCTAAGTCAGGCAAAGCGTGCGGGCCCGACACAATCCATGTAGAATTGATCAAACTATTAGACAACAACAACATACGACAACTGACTAATTGGTACAATCAAATATACAATGGCAATAACATTCCATCCAACTGGCTACAATCCATCTTTGTGGCCATACCAAAGAAAGCAACAAGCCGGAAATGCGAGGACTACAGACTGATAAGCTTGATGAGCCACGTGCTGAAAGTCTTCCTGAAGGTGATCCAACAGCGCATACGCTCCACATGCGAAAATGCATTGAAGAACACACAGTTTGGCTTTTGCAAAGGACTAGGCCAGGGGTCGGCAACCAAAATAACAAGAAGAGCCATTTCTTTCCAATTCGGTACAAAATTCAGTATTTCAAGAGCCGCAATGCATCTGAGTACATACTGTACATATGTACATATCGTCAAGAAGCAGCCCGTAAAGAGCTGCATGCGGCTCCGGAGCCGTAGGTTGCCGACCCCTGGACTAGGCACAAGAGAAGCAATCTTCTGTCTACAGATACTACTACAGCTATGCTACGAACATCAGAAAGAAGTGTACATCTGCTTCATAGATTACGAGAAAGCCTTTGACTCAGTCGACCACGACCAACTAGCAGCTCTATTAAAACAACTGGGACTAGATAAAAACGACATCAACTTCATCATTGCTCTTTATTGGAAGCAACCAGCCCAACTCTGATATGACAACGAATTGACAGACCCAACACCAATACAAAAAGGTGTACGACAGGGCTGCCCACTTTCACCCAGTCTTTTCAACATCTACTCGGAGCAGATTTTTGATCGAACACTAGCAGATAAAAACATTGGTATTAAAGTCAATGGACAATACATCAACATCAGGTATGCCGACGACACTGCACTGCTGGCCGATTCAGAACAAGACCTACAACAAATCTTGGACGAGGTTGCCACAGAGAGTCAAATATGGGGCTTACGAATTAATAAAAAGAAAACAAAGGTTATGAAGGTCAGCCGAACTACAAGCGAAATAACAATCAAGCTGGGCAGCGAAAATTGGAACAAGTACACCGATTTAAATACCTTGGTGTAATAATTGACGATCAGTTGAACCATGAAGTCGAAATCAAGAGCAGAATTGAACAAGCAAGGCAAGCATTTATTAAATGGAAAACACTCCTTGCAGACCGCAACTTGAGTACATCACTCAAACTGCGCACACTGAAATGCTACATCTGGTCAATTTTGCTGTACGGAGTAGAGACGTGGACACTGACAACAACAGCAACAAAAAGGCTCGAAGCTTTCGAGATGTGGCTGTATCGAAGAATGCTGAAAATCCCATGGACAGCCAAAACCACCAATACACAAGTTCTGCAAGATATGGGCACTGACAGGCAACTGCTGAAGACCATCATTAGCAGGAAGTGTTACTACCTAGGCCACATTGCCCGAAACGACCACAAATACCAGCTATTAAAGCAAATCCTGGAAGGAAAAATCGAAGGGAAAAAACGACCAGGACGGCCAAAAACGACATGGCTCAGTAACATCAAAACATGGCTACAATTAACAACAGCACAAACTCTACACGCCGTGCTAGACCGGGACCAATATCATCGTGAAGTCGCACACGCCGTTAGGCAGCACTAAAGAAGAAGAATGTAATGCAACACAGAGAGTCGGTCAACACACAATTAACGCATAGCCCGGTTGATTACGTATTTGAAAGATTGCTAAGTTAGAATTTAAGTGTGAGAATTCCAAAGAGAGGACCCAGGCAGAGAGAACAGACAGCGGGTAAGCAAGATGGCAACGTGGTACAGTACACAAGCTTGAAAATGAGAAAGGCACACTAAAATTAAATAACCTAGTAAAATATCGAAATGTAAAGTAATGCAACACAGAGAGTCGGTCAGCACACAATTAACGCATAGCCCGGTTGATTACGTATTTCAAAGATTGCTAAGTTAGAATTTAAGTGTGAAAATTCCAAAGAAAGGACACAGGCAGAGAGAACAAGATTACGTTTATTTAGTGTTAATGTGTTAATGAGTTTGAATGTGATTTAGGGCCTAGTCCGTTAGTGCCTTGACTAAAGCACTCCGCTTTTGTATTGTTTTTTTGTTAATTTGTGTACATTTATGCACTTTCAAATATAAATGTACGTGTCTATATTTATTGTACTACAAATACAAGGATATTTATTGAAATGTTGGGTTTATTTTTATTTGTTTATTGAGTTAAAAATTACACTGGTCACACTTTTTCTGGCATAAGGTATTCCAACGGTTTTAAGGTAATTTTGGGGTGCTGATTCCAAATCTGGCATCAGTTTTTGTCTATCACATCAGATTTTTGGGATATGAAATATTGCATTTTCAATCAAATCAGCAAATGTATGCTCATATACGAATAGCTAAACAGACATCCATACAAGAATAAGATAAGATACAATAATAATGAAACAAACATTTAATGAGCCGTAGCACAAAGTTGTGAGAGTGACTGCATATCAATGTGAGTGAATGCATATTACCATGTAAGAATTGAATTGTGAAGATAAGAAAAATATGTACAAAAAGGTCATTCACAATAGTGATGTTACATCTCCATAAACGACCTCTTCTTTGACGATCTCCGATGTACAGCTTGTGGAATGTCTCTCATCAAGGACCAGCATTAATCTGCCATCATGTTTGAGTCCCATCGGCCTTGGTAACGTTCTTCCATAACTTTAATGTCTTGACGAAAGCGTTCACCTTGTTCTTCACTCACGTGACCCATGTTCTCTGGAAACTGAGCCAAGTGACTATGTAACCTTGATGCTCGTTCTACATCCAAGTGCTTGGAAACTCAAGAGCAGCTCCTCCACAATCTCTCGATAGTTGTCCACTTTCCTGTTCCCAAGGAAATTCCGCACCACATCAGATAATGCATTCCAAGCTCTAGCCTCTGCCGCAGTCGTAACAAATTGTGGATCCCTGATGAGTGTTCTTATTTGAGGGCCAACAAATATTCCTGCCTTTTCTTCGCGGCACTGAGACTTGAAAAGGTTGAACATATATAGCTGAAGCAGTCTCCAATGTGATCAAGAGCTTTGACAAGTTGCTTCATTAACCCAAGTTTTATGTGCAGTGGGGGAAATACAATTTTATTCCTATCAACCAGAGGCTCATTCTTGATGTTCTTGTCACCAGGCGTCAAACTGATTCTTGGTGGCCAGTTCTGTTTAACCCAGTATTTTAATGTAGCCCTACTGTCCCAGTAGCACAGGAAACAAGGGTATTTGGTGTGACCTCCTTGCTGACCCAGCAGAAAATTAACCATTTTCAAATCAACACAAATTAGTCATCCATGAACATGGTATTCCTATCTATCCAGAACAATCTTGATGTTGGCATATTCTTCATTCATTTTTAGTGTCCTATTGGGACTGAACCATATATATTTCTGTTGTGAAGTAACACACATTTCAAACTCCTTTTACTACTGTCAATAAAAAGTCTCCATTCACTTTAATCATATGCGGGCAGTCCCATATTGAGAAGAAGCCCTTCAACATCATTACAATAAACAAGTTGACCATCTGAATGGAAGTACTGCTTCTCTGTTACGATAAAAGGGGACAGTAGTACCAGGTCTGAGTAGTCCTTTCTCTTGCAGCCTGGAAGCCAACAATTCAGCAGACTGCTTTGGCAAATACAAATATCTTACAAGATCATTCAATTCAGGCTGACTAAACAGATACATTTTATCACAATCTGCATCAGATGACGTACATTCTATCTGAGCATCATCATCATCTGTATAAACAGGTAAACTGAGGGATTCAGCATAAATCTCTGGTAGCTCAGTTAATACAGGTGTAGTGGTGATACGCGCTGACAGTGGGGATCGTGGGGCAGCGCGTGGTGATTGGCTGTGTGCCGGTGACGCGCGCTGACGGTGAGGGATCACAGGGCAGCGCGGGGTCATGGGTTATGTGGTGGTGATTGGCTGTGTGTTGGTGACGCGCGCTGACAGGGAATGATCGTGTGGCAGCGCGGGGCGATTGGTTGTGGAGTGGTAACACGCGCTGGGAAAACGGATCGTAGGAACAGCGCGCCGTGATTGGTCGACTAGTGGGTGCTCACATCGCGGTCCGCAAGAGGGCTATATAAGGCGGTGCGCGCGGGCGCTCGGGGAGTTGGTGACCAGCGAAGACTGAAGACGGCGGAGGAAGAGATAGGGCCCTGCGGCACCTAGTTCCGCTGTCCTTGTAAGGACCGGGGCTCTGTGTGACCCAGAGGCGGGACCCTGGGACCCGGGGCCAAACGTCCGTGTGAGGGCCGGCTCGCGGGACCCAGAGGTTGTGACCCACGCCCAAGCTTGGGGTGGGTCTGTAGGCTCCAAGGACGTTACGGGGCTGGAATGCAGTGTGAGCATGCAGTGTGAGCATGCAGCGTAAGCTATAGTAACTACACGTGTCAGTGGAGTGTGTAGCGGGAGAAGTAGTGACCACACGTGTCAGTGGAGTGTGTAGTGTGAGAATAGAGACCACACGTTGTATCGTAACAAGTCAAGATTTAATAAAAGAGTGTGCTACCCGTCAAGTGGTTTCCTGCCGTCATTCCGAATACTTCAACTGGCGTCAGAAGTGAAACAGTCTTCCAGGCATGGATAGAAGGAAGACCCGTCGGACTCACGGGAATGACCGCGAGGATAACCTTGATGACTCGGGCCAGCTGGCATCGGGGGGAGAGGACGAGGAAATGCCGACGCCGCAGGACCCACCAAGGGCGCCGGACGAGCGACTGAGGACCGAGGCCGTACTCCGCGAGGCGCACTCCCGTCTGGCAGAGCTGCTGTTCGCCGCCGCGTCCATCCTGGCAGAAATCAACACAGCGGGAGGAGCGGGGACGTCGACGGACATTCAGCAAGCGCGGCCCGCAGATTCCCGCCAAAATGACTTGGCGATTCCCGCCATTTCGACTGCGCGGCCATCTTTTGGCGGGAACGGCAAGCAACACGTGGCGGCGGTTCTCCACGCGCGCCCGCTCACGTCATCAACGCGCGCCGCGGACCGCCATCAGCCGCCCGCCATTGGGGCCGCCATCTTGCAGACCGACGGTGCGGCAGAGAGGAACCACATGGCAGAGGACGACTTCATTTTCCAGCAGCGCCTTCCCACATTGTCAGCCTTCAAGGCAGAGGGCGGGGACTGGGCCGCATTCCAGCGCAGGTTTCTGGCGCATCAGGAGATGTCGGCCTGGTCCGACGCTACGGCGCTGCGGGCACTGCCTGCCATGTTGGACGACGACGCGCTCGCGGCCTTCAGGTCCGCACAGAGGTCGGACCGCTCCACGCTCAAGGCGGCGCTGGGTCTCATGGCCAAGGTCTACGGACCTCCCTCGGCGTGTCGCCATCACTTTTATGCCCGACGGAAGGCAGACACGGAGACCGCCCTCGCCTACCGCACGGCGTTGTTGGCTCTCGCCGACGCCGCGTTCCCTCGTATGGACGAGGAGGGCCAGGACGCGATGGTCTTGGAGCAGCTGCTCAAATTGGCGCAGGACCTGGGGGTCCCCATCAACACGGCCGACGAGGTCGATATTTCTTCGTTGCGGGTCGCAACAAGTATACAGGCGTACGAGGTCTCCAGCGTAAACAGGGGGCCGTCTGCACTGCTGCTGTGGCCTCAGCTCCGGGCCCGGTCGTCACCGAGCCCCAAGTCATCGGCCCACGGGAGGAGGCGTTCACCGCTGGACGACCGGGGGACTGGAGGTTGGGGGGTCGTTCGCCTCTGCGATCGGCCCGCAAGCCGGAGCAACCGAGACCTCCGACGTCCCTCATCACGTGTTACAACTGCGGCCTCCGGGGCCACGTGGCGTCCGGTTGCCGCGCTCCTCGTCAGCGCGCCCTGGGACCTCGGCTGGACGACGACCAAGGCCCCAAGTCATCCCTACTACCCCCGGCAAGTCGCGGCACTTCACATGCTCGGCCTACATGCACGACACACATGGGCCGTCGCGTTGCGGCGGAGGAAGGCTGGTTAGGGATCGGGGATTCGGTTCGGCGAGGGGGGTTCGTGCGGGACCGAGGGGACATTGAATGGTCTGAGTTGGGGCACAGGATAGTGGCTGCGTCGGCGGGTTCATCGGTCATTACGGGATTCATTGACGGGGTCGAGGTCAGGGTGTTGGTGGACACGGGGGCGTCGGCGACTATTATATCAGACCTCATTTACAACATTCTCCCCGTCCAATGTAGACCTCTGCTCCCGGTCGACGTGCCATTTTACGCGGCAAATGGGGGCTCGTTGGGCATTGTCGGCCAAATTAGGGCGTCCATTTGCATTGTAGATATTAAATTGTCGGGACCCGTTTTCGTTTCTTCTTCCTTAGCGGTCCCTTGTCTGTTGGGCACAGATTTCTTGGCTAAAATGCCCATTAAAATTCTCATCGATCAGCGTTGCATTGAGTTACCATCGGGTCGCCGTATTTCATTTTTGACGAATCCTACCGAAATTCGGACGGCGTGCGCTACGATACAAGCGCTGGCGACGCAGACCGTGCACATGCCCCCGGGTTCACAGATGTTAATTCCCCTCCGGTTGAGAAAACCATTGGTTGGAGAGACCTCGGAACGAGGCATGCTTTTGGGTCCTTCTAATAGGGCTGTGGGGGGTCTCGATTTGTCGGTGGCTCACACTTTGGTTCGGGCTGACAGGGACCCATTCGTGATGGTTTTAAATGCTGGTTCGCGGCCGGCCGTTATTCAGCAGGGCACTGTACTAGCTCACGCGGCACGGGTCCCTGCGGAGGAGCGCCTAGTTGCACAGGTTGACCCAAGCCCGACGCAGAACAATCCATCGAGGGAGGACCTTGAATGGGTCGATTCGCTGTGCGCGGACTCGACCCATTTGTCAGCGGTACAGTTGGGTGCGCTGCGTGCGTTACTGATTGAATTTTCGGACGTCTTCAGTAAGCATAAATATGACATTGGGTGCACGGACCTGTTGCACCACCACATTGAAACAGGCGATGCGGCACCGGTCAGGCTAAATCCCTTCCGGCTGAGTCCTGTTGAAAAGGAACACGTTCAGTCGGCCGTTAACGATATGCTGGCGGCCGACATTATTTCGCCTTCTTCCAGTCCATGGGGAGCACCTATTGTGCTGGTTAAAAAGCAAGACAGGTCCTTGCGATTTTGCGTAGATTTCCGTCGCCTGAATAAGATATCCGTGACTGACGCGTATCCGCTCCCCAGGATGGACGAGTCCCTCGATGCATTATCTGGCGCGCGATATTTTTCGACTCTGGATTTGTTGTCGGGATTCTGGCAGCTGCCACTCGACAACGAGTCTCGACCCAAGACGGCATTTCGGACTCCAGGGGGCCTGTTCCAGTTTAACCGGTTACCCATGGGTCTTCACTCCGCTCCCGCGACGTTTCAGCGCCTTATGGAGTTGGTTTTGTCGGGCTTGCAATGGGATACTTGCTTGATTTACCTAGACGATGTCATTGTTTTCAGTAAAACGTTCGAGGAACACCTCCAGCGATTGAGAGGGGTGTTCTTGCGGATGCGATCGGCTAAATTAAAGTTTAAACCGGCCAAATGCCACCTTCTTCGTAAGTCCGTGAGGTACTTGGGCCACATTGTCGATTCTTCGGGGATCTCT